TGGTTTGTTTATTTTTGATTTTCAAGAATGAAAAAATTGAAAGAGAATTTTTTTTATAATATGCTATTTCTGTACTATATAACACACCTATAACAAGACAAAAATGAAAAACCAATAGCATTTACTCCTTAATAGCGAGAAATTTAATCGTTTTATTCATAAAAAAAAGCTTTCACACACACTTACCTCGTATTGAATTTTTTTGAGTAAATTAATGAATTGTGTTCAATTACTTAAAAGAATTTTAAGTTACAGACCTATGGCGCTGTCAGTCTTGGAAGCATTAACGAATTTTCAGATCTAAGAAGTTACAGTTAAGAATTTTTAATATTTGTTAAAGTTTATATACTATTTTAGGAGTATGCCTGAGCACCTTTAAAGTATTTTTACTTAAAAACTTTAAAAGTGATTTTTTTTTTAAAATAAAGACACATGTATGACATTTAAGAGCCATACATTATGAACGTTATTATAGTTTCTAGTTCAACTATACTATTGGAAATATTTATATATACTACAAAAAAATTATACTTATCGCAAACTCTATGTCAGGATTGTTTGTGAATAATTAAACCTCTACAGCTTCTTATCTAGTTTGTAATGTGCATTGTTTATAACAGTCTCATAAAATATCTCTGCGTAAACAATAATAAATGAAAGTATTGTGTTATAATACATTTTTAACACCGAACTACGTAATTTTATACTGATTTTGTAATTTATTAAAAGTAATTAATTTTTTTTTTTTTTTTTTTTTTGTAAAATTTTGAGCACGGTCACCCAAATACTACATTGGAAAAATAAATTTTCAACATATGCGCAAGTATACCATATTATACTATACATTTAAGGCATTTAGTATATTACTGGTACATTACGTCACTAGGGCACAAAGTACAAACATGAGCGCCGGAAGGGCGCGATTGTTTATGTTGGTGCCCGGTCGCGTATAATGTTTTTCTTATCGAGGGCCCAAAGTGCAATTTTGTACCCACAGGCACAAAGCGACAGTTGCACTTAGGGCCCATGGTCAGAAATGGAAGTTTCAATTTACCGGTGATCTTACTGTAATTGATTTCCATTAATTACTAATTTTATGTTTATTTTAACAAAAACTATGTGAAGATGTTTAAAACGAATGCCTTAAAAGATTAATCAAACTTACTTCAATCAGCTGCAAATTTGCATCTCAGGTCTATTAAAATGTACTTCAGTGTTTATAATCAGTTCAAAGAAGTTTAGTTTATTAGACGGATTTGCGGTTTTATTGGCTACATCATTTTCATAAGTTTTTATTACCTAATTATCCCACAGCAATTTTTAGATAAAATAATAAGCTTGTGCACAAAGCCGGTACTTTGACGAATTCATGAAGCCCAAATATATTGTAAACGAATGCGAATTAAGAAAGAAGAGTTACATCTCTTGATGATTGAATAAAGTGTATGATAATAATAATTACGAGATGCAAGTTTTCTTCATCAATTTGCAGCTGATAACAGTTTTAGGTCAAGAAAATTAATTTCATTTCAATTGCCACACTCTTCAGTTCATCGATAAACGTTTAAAAAAAAGATTATTAAACATCAAGAATCCTTCTAATAAAATAGCTCTAGGTTGAAAGAACAATAACGCTAAACAAATAGTATTGCCCTTTTTATAAATTTTGTTCCGGTTATTAAGAAAATTTTTTTATGAGAACAGAATGGTTGTTGTTTTTAAAGGTATTGACGAATTGTCAAAATTTATTAAATTAGGAAAAGACTCATTTAACAATAATAACAGAAATAATATAGCTTACAAAAGAAATTCTAACCATAACCAAGCTTGTTACATAGGACAGTCTTCTAGGAGTCTAAAAACAAGAATATATGAGCACAAAGGCATTTAAGAGATAAGTCAACAACTAGTGCAACATATGGAAAAGACATCACCCTCACAAACCTTTGACTTTGCCAATGTAAACATTTTAGACGTTGAGAATAATAAGTTTATAAAACTGTTATCAGAAGTGCTTTATATACATATTTATCATGATAACGTAAGTAGAATGCTTGACACGAACAACTTTAAAAATTGTTATAAATTATTTATTGACAATAACTCTAAATCGCTAATGCACTCTTTTAGACAAAGGACACAGCGTTACCTCTAAGTTGTCGTAGGGTCATTGACTGGTACTTTTGAACAGTCGTGTGTGTTACTCAATGTAGTGCATACTTACGTTCTTACATTTGTGAGTAAAAAGTGTTACGATACCTGTAAGAGATTTGAAATAATAATGTTGGCTACGTTGACTTAAGTTTCCATTCCATTCCAAGTCAGCTTGACCATTGTTTTCGAAAATTGCTATGGCAAAAAATAGCAAGTAATTACCAAAAAAACGTAATGTAAATTTTGTAACGGCACCATTACTTAGCTGTGTTAGCTTGTTAAATGAGTCTATTCTAATACTAGTCCTAGATTATTAAAGTTACACTTGCAACAAAACTATACATTACGGTACAGTCTAACAATTCAGTAAAATAATGTATTCTGTTCCAAAATTTGTGGTCTTCTAAATTATTAGTGCTCTTCGTACAAGATACCAGATTGACACTTCTCACATTCATTTGTTATTTTACTATACACTTCTCCCCAGACTAATGACTACAATTTATATTCAATTCATACCGATAAACTACCACTGACTGTCTTTTACAGTATGACTGTATAATGTCTATACAAAAAATCTACATCATGCTTACTCTTTTTTACAAGTCAATCGTAAGACTTGGAAAAAGTGTGGAACATAAAATTGTTCCAAAAAATCTGTTAAAAGTCATTGATCCATTTACGCTGCATCAATACTCGGCTCCATACGATGTCAGTTATGAAAAAAATAAAGTTGGGAGTGGAATTTTACATGTTAAAGTAATTTGCAATGATTTATGCTCTCATCTACAATAATCAAAGAAAAATCCACGGAATATTTTTTATCTCAAGAAGAGTTATAATTCAAATAAAAGTTATGTTTTTCGTAATTTTCAGGTTTAAAAAACAGAAAATTAAATATTAATATGAAAATAAGTAAAAAAAATTAAATTCCTAATTTTTTAGTCTATGGTTGAACAATTTTTTGAATTTCACCTTTGTTACTCTTTTGGCAGTTGAAACGGTGACGTTTAAAAATGGGTCCCACCTTACATTTTATGCTCAAGCATCGAACTTGTTCGTGAGACCTCAAGTGAAATCAGGTACGCCAAACTAGAGTTCAACAGTAACAGTCTTGAATTGGTGAAAAAACGCCTGAACACACAAACTATCATCATCATATAGACCAAGTAAAGAGCTTGCCACTGTCTAATTAAGCAGGTAATGGGTGATGAAGTATTTTTCTCTTCATGCTGCTCTGTTGTATTTGTGTACTTTTTCCGTAACATGCAGTAAGCACACTTCCAAAAAGTGGCATGGTAAAAGTAGAGAAAACCCTCTACCAATTTGTATTGCAGTCAAATTGTACAGCAACACAAGAAATAAAGCACTTAGTTAAAGTAATTCATTGCTTAAGACTTGAGATTTTATACGACTAGCTTCAAAAAATCCTTACGAAAAAGCGAATAGTGTATTAATGACAGTAGCAATGAAGAAAACTAATTATATTGTATCATGAAGCACTTCCATGGTCTCGTTTTATGAAACTGTAAATTCTATAATGCAATCATGCAATAGCCTACACTAGAAAAAAATTAAAAAAGGTATGAAAAATAAAATAAAAATAAATAAGTTCATTAAAAAAAAAATTTAGTTTAAGAACCCCAGACCCTTATCAAATAAGATTTTATGTCATGAATGCAATCAATTAAGCTTTTTTAAAAAAATTCTATTTTATGCATTTAGGCAGCACCAGTTTTAAAAAAAGCCTGTGACCCTGGGATACTTCCTTGTTGCCTTAAGCATTTAAAATTCTGAATGTTGACCAAATTTGAGCCATCTATGATAATTTCTAGCTCTGGAACAAGCGAAATGCAAATTTTTCTCTGATGGTCAACGACCACAACATAATCTGACTATAACAGAGGCCTTCGCTGTGGCAACACTTATTGTCAGAAGATAAAGCGTCACAAATAAGTGTATCGTTAGTGTAAAATATTTATAAAGATAATTTTAAAGATGTTTAAAATGTCTATTTAGTTCCCTGACTTCATTTTTTTTATCTCTTAGTAATACATTAAAATCAGAGCCGTATAGAAATTTTTTTTCTTGACGCACAAAGTATCAATATAAAAATGTCACCTCAATTGATCATTATAAAATGATTTCGTAATGATAATTTAATAGTTAAAAAAGTTATTTGAAGGAATTCGTTTTTTGCTGAGTTAACCATTAAACTTATACTTAAATAACATTGATAAAAGCCTCTAGAGGTCCAAGCATGGTCTACAAAAATTTACTGAACTTCATGAAAATTGTTTTTCGACCTTCAAAGTACTTATTTCATCAAAGAAGCCCGATAAAAAAAGTATCGATATTTTTTGACATTTTTCAAACTCAATGTTTTGAGTTTTTCTAATCAAGAAACTTGCATACTATCCACTAATCCATCAAAGCTGTTATCAAAGAACTGTATCAAATCAGAAATGATGAAGACTGAAGAAAAAAATTGGATAAGAACTTTTTAAATCCGAAATAGTCTTAATCATAAAAAGCTTTATGGTCTGTAATATTCCTTACACCAGTTTTTTCTTATGTAATTTGCTTGAACCAAGAAATAAGCTGAGCTTATGACATGTCATATTGACCCTCCGGTGTACTATAGGTCCCTGCAGCACATTAAACTGTTGACAAAATTTTTTGTTTTCCTCTTTAATAAATTTTTTGTATTCACTCATTTTTATCAAGTGCTCCAATACACAAATACATAGTATAACATATAAGTAGTAGCTAATATTTATTTTCCCTAGCTTCTAGATTTTCTCTCTCATTATCTTAATCATTATAATTTTAATTCGATTTTTCAGGTCTATGCAATGGATGTCTTAGTTAGTACTGGTGAAGGAGTAGGAAAAGAGCAAGATACCAGAGTAACTATTTATAAAAAGACTGAAGAAAATTATCAACTAAAATTAAAAGCATCAAGAATGTTTTACTCTGCAGTCTCACATGAGCATGGCTTGATGCCATTTAATTTACGTAGTTTTGAGGATGAAAAAAAAGCAAAAATGGCTGTTGTCGAATGTGTTAACCGTAGGCTAATAGAACCTTTTCAGGTAATGATAATTATAATAACAATATTTATAATAATAATGATGATGATAACAATCGTAAGCAATAATGAAAATAATAAGAACAAAAAATATTATACTAGTAATTTGTACAATAGAAATACTGTTAACAACATTATAGGTCGTAATATTTTCAATAAAAAAACGAGATGCACTCAATTTTTTGCTGATTACTTAAGAGTTGTACATGATAACGTGCATGTGCGCAATACACATTTGTACATTTATTAGAACCCAACATTTTAAGCTTGTTAAGTTGTGTTTAAAATTGTTAGCGCGTCACGCTGAAGAGTCCAGCTAGTGATCGAGAACAAAACAAATCCATTTCTTTTCTTTTCTTTACTTTCTCTTTACATTTCATTTTGGCAAGCTTGAGTTCCTACAAATTTTTAAACTTGATTGTGAAATGTCATACATGTGTAGCTCTAAAGTAATGTGCTAAAAAATCAGCAAAATCTTATTTCTTAGAATCTTAATTTTTTGTTAATTCACGTAGACTGTTAAATTTCAAAAAAATCTGCGAACTTACGTTTGAATTTGTCATTATTTTTTTAAATGTAAGAGGGAATATGTTAACAGATATTAACATCAACGGTTCTCATAAAACATTTATGCTATTACATAAAACAAGGAAAAATTATAAGAAATCTAACAATTCAATTTAAAAAAACAGAAATCTAGTCGTTAACATTGACAAATCTGTTATTTGTAACGGTTACTCTGTTTGACGAATAATCTTTGCTCCAGTTGCCGTCTTTTCGATGACTCACCAATCATTTTACTTGTGGTTATGTAGTATCATGTTTTGTTCTAAAGGGAAATAGGTGTCAAATATGTAGATAAAAAGATGAATTTCAGGGTACGACCCTAAAAGTCATCCTTTCTGCATTCATATAATGACAAACCGAATACAAAGGCTCCAAATTCAAGTTAAACTTGTTATTTATTAGATCTTACTAGTTTTTAAGTGATAAAAGAGAAGTTTTTAGTGTTATTTGTGATATATTTATTCGCTTGGTTTTGGCAGAGCTACAGGAGAAGGACAGAAAGATAAAAATATACGGTATAAGCCTACTAGTCAATATCGACCGCTTCCTGGGACTCTCGCTTTTTTCTGACTTTCACTGTTGTTGTTTCAGTACGGTTGTACCTTATTTTTCTGTTAAATGTATTTTCTTATTCTTATTTTAGGTATTATATAAAATATTATCTTTGTGCAATATTCAACATAAATTATATTTTTTTGATTGATAAAAATATTTTTCAATCTTACAAAATTCACTATCTTTATTTTTAATTCATTAATATTATTTTCTACAGATAAGACTAGATTTTATGGAAAACAATCAGCCTCTGAATTGTTTTGACCAGAATTATACTGAATATAAAGTTCAAATCGTAAAAAACAGTTTAAAACATGTAAGAGTTCGGTATCTTAGCAATTTTTTATATTGAAATTTCGTAAAAGTTCATAATCCTCACATAATTCAAATTTTTTGTCAAATAGATAATATTGCCAATACAAAAAAGCCTATTCCATTGTTTAACATTAAATAAAGTTTGCGTTTTTTGTTTTTCAAAATAGTGTAAGTTTTCGCAAAAAATTTAATACTGGCTAGTTAATACGAAAGCTACTAAAAAGTTGAAAAAAAAAAAAAAATTAT